GGACTTGATTGAGTCTTCTCAACAGGGGTATCCTGATAAAAATATCAAAAAATATGGATAATAGAGTAGAACCTTGATTATCCGGACCTCAGTTATACGGATTCGCGATTATCCGAACTAACAACCGCGATCAATTTCAATGTATGTACATACCTACAAATCGAATTTTTACACGATTAATGCTGCAGTCCAGATTAGTATATGTATGTAATGTAATCGAAGAAAATATGTAATACATAAGGATGTGTTAATTTCTTAATAAAGATTGATTTTGGTTGACATCTATGTAAGTAATTGTTATTTTTAATAAATACCCAACATTATTCATCATACTATCGATTATCCGGATTTTTGATCATCCCAATGCCCATTGACAACAATTAGTCCGGTTAATCGAGATCCTATTGTATGTTATAAAAGTAACGACTAATTAGTCAAATCCTTATTAATTTAAAATAAAATTGTTAAATAATATGCTTGTATTGATTTTTAACGATGATTAATACAAACACATACAAATAATTGCATTGCGACATTAGATTAGAAAGTTCATGAATTACCGCAGCAACTTTAACACCTCGACATGTAATTAAAAGTTGACATTGATTTGCTATTTATATATATCAAACTGTTTGGAAGTATATTTCATGTATATGAATTCAACGTTTAGTATTATTCCTAATAATTATTAGGAATTATAAATATCCAAATGAAACTTACCATAATAAGATTGCATAAACTCTTGGTTTGTTTGGTGTCGCAGTTTGGAGTAATTTCAGAACTGAAAATTAAATAAAAAACCACATTATTTAAGAAGTAAAACTTCTCAATATCTAAAAATCACATCATTCAGATAACTATTATTATTCATACAAAAATAGGTAAGAAATGTCAAATACCAATTTTTATCTGTTTCTCAGTCTATTTTTATGTTTTGACTGAATCAAATGATTTTTATGTATTCATAAAATCACATCTAATTAATTTAATTCTATAAGCTTACAATAATTTTGAAGAAAATTCGAAAGAAATTTCATGTGTAAATGCATTGATTACAAAGCGATTTGGTCCAAGTTGGCGCCAACTAGCACTAGATGCAGAAATTTTCCCTAAACTACACCTCATAAAACTAAGTACTACTGCTTAAGACTCGTCAATACAGCATCATTGTTGGGTTCAGTGCAGATTATCCTATTCGGCCAGTTAGTAGAGTCTCCACAATAAGGAGACCTACAAGTCTATTTTCTTAAGTCACTTGTTGACGAATTCAGGAAATGACATAATGAATACTTTATAACCCGGAACAAACAAGATTTTCAGTAGACAGAG